CTTTGCTCCTGATGTATTTGACATTGTGCCATTGGTCCATTAGGATTTGGTTGAGTGTTGTGCATTATTTTTAATTTGCATTCACAGTATGCGCTGTAATAACTCCCACTGAATTCTAGCAATGGATGCTGTGAATTTGTATTAACAGCAGCGCTGTTTTGTGCAACTGTAGTAAAATTCTTTTCAAAAGAATACTTAGTGCATCATTTCCTTCAGCTAAGGAGATCAGAGTTCCAAATAACAACAGAGACTTGCAAATTGTTCCTGGGCTAATTGTAATGGAAGGATTCATCTTGGATGGAAATCATTGGCACAAGTTACTGTTGATGCTAGAAGTTTACATGGTTTCAAAAAGCAATTAAACATAATTATGGAAGAAAAATCCATGAAAGGCAACTAAACACACAGCAAGCTCTAGTTCAAAAATTCCCTGAGCCATTGATTGCTGGAAGCTGAGAAAGGGTCCTAGGGATGGATCACTGCACAGTTCTTCCCTGGGATTGTGCTACTGGGCACTGCCTGAAGGACATGCTGTTCTAGTCTGACCCAGTATGGCCTTTCGCATAGTGTCATGTTAAGATGTCGTGCAGAGAGCCTTTAGGAAGAAAAGAGAATGGGAAAAAAAAAAATATCTCCCTTCAGGTTAACAACTTGCAAGTTTTTTGGTTTCTGAATTAAAATCCTACTTCATACCTCATTGTAATTCAGATTCTCCTGGCCCATCAGCTTCCTTTGGAAAAGCATACACCCTGGACTGAACCACAGCCATGGGCACATGCCTGCAGTGCCCCTAATTGGATGAAGGCTCACACAGTGGCTGACAGTAGAGCACTCGTTTTCAGTAGTTACAGGCCTCAAGTTTGCTTATGCTACAAGATGCATTTTTGGCAATGAGTATTTATCTGCTATTGGGCTGGATCATCATTGCTAAAGAGGAGAAGCTGGTTTCTCAGTTAAACTGAAAAAAGGAATCAAATGAAGTGCACACAATATCTTACTCTGACGGATATAAAAACATAGCTTACAACAGTGAAAAATCATTAATTTTGTGCACAAGAAGCAAGTCCTGCTGTTGGTTAGAAGAGGGAGATAATAACACCAGGTCATGGGTTCAATCCCCATATGTCATTCACTTAAGAGCTGGACTCAATGATCCTTGTCTGTCCCTTCCAACTCAGAAAATTCTGTGATTCTCTAAGACACTCAGAGTCCTGAAGACTTCTCCTTGTGCCCTAATTTTTTTTCACCTTGACCTTCTTGAAAGAGTGGATGAGTCATCACTGGCACATTTGATGAACATCTCAAAGTGATGGAACATGTAGCTGCTTTTAAACATCTAATAACTTAGCTAGGTTTAGGTAGATCTGAACAGACTGTTTCCTGGCTGAATTTACTTATTAAATTATTATCTTAATAAAGCCTAATTTTTAAGTTACAGGACACAAAATAATGTACTGAAAAAAACTGAGAAAAAAGAAAAAAACATTAAGGCAAGATAAAAAGCATAGCAGCAACAGCCACACAAGGTGATTTGGAATTTTTTTAAATTTTAAGGGGGTACAGGAATGTTTTTTGTGATTTTCCTTTAGAGGAATGATTGGGGCCATTTGATGTCCTGGAGTCTGGCAGACAGCACCTTAGTTCTTGCAGTTTATCATTATGTAAAACCATGTTGCCCAAAACCATGGGTGGAAATAAATTAAGTTGTGAAACGCAATGAACCAATAACTTTTTCCCAATTTGAAACACATATGTCTGTTTTGTGAATTAGCTGGAAGATTTTTTTTTTTTTGCTAAAAGCACATTGTGAGTGCTCTAAAAATACCAAAATAGTTGTCTCACACCAACACCTCACTCTGAGGCCTCTCATACTTCCCCAGAACATGGGATTCCAGTTTCACTGAACATCTTTAGTACCTCTCTCTTTTTAATTGTAAGAGTCAATTCTCCTCCTATTTGCAATAACTAACATCCCTATGACAGCCATTGCTTAGATGAGAAGGCAGCTCTAGGAAAGCATTTAATGAACATTAATTGCTTCTTAATATGATTTAGCTGCTGGAAACAAGAAGGCTAAGCTGGCTCCATGTGACCAGCAGCCCTACAGGCACCTCCACCAGACTCCTTTTGAGATGCAATCCTGCTGACCTGGGGGACAAAAGCCTTTCATGGATGATAACCAAGGCTGCATTTTGCTTTTCCAAATTAGCAGCTAAGTAGGGCTGTAGGAGCTCAGTAACAAAGTCATGATGATACCACCTGACTGATTAGTGATCTCTTCCTTCTGTGCAAGCCAGCAATTATCAATTCCTGCTGACTTCAGAAGCTAATGGGAATCAGAGGATGGGGGATGCTGCCAAAATGCAGCAGCTTCCAGCTGTGAGGAGGATGACAACATGGGACAGACTCTATGTACACTGTAAAGTCTCTGTCTTTTCCTGTGCCAACTTCAGCACCCGTACCTTTATAATTTTGACCCTCTACAGTACATTACCTGACACCATCACTTCTGATATGGCAACACCATGTAAGAAAAACTTGGTCTCTCAAATCCAACATTCCTAAATTTGAATTCTGATTCACCATTGATTCTTACCTCAGCGTTTAGTAGGATCACTTAACCTTTCTACTAAGCTGCTGTGACAGAAAATTAAGTCTGGTAACATTTAAAGATACTGTGACAATCAATCAATACATGTTTGTAAACTTGTTAGTAAACAACAAGCACCAAGTGCCAAGTCTAATCTAAACACATTCAGTTTATAATCTTCCCATTTTCTTTGCAAGAACTTTAATATGACATAAAGATTAACCTTCTGATCTTGGAAAAAAAATCCTTACTGGTATTATAGACTAATGTTGGCAGCAAACCTCTAACTTGAAATATTATGTCCTCAGTGGCATCACTAAATTTCCCATGGGTTAGCTGACAGTGATACCTCAGGACTCACAGGAAAACTGTATTGCAGAAGGAAATAACAGTGAGGGCAAAAGCCAAGTATTTTTCTGGACTGTAATTCTTAGTCTTCTTTCATTCACTAATACTACTAGGCTTTTAAGATGAAATACTTATTGTTTTACATAGGGTATTTAATGGGTATTACAAAATAGCTAATGATATCCACAAACATAAGCAGGAGCCTTCATGTTTCACAGAGGTGATGGGGTATTGATATTTCTAATATCTGCTGATCAATATACACATACCTTGAAAAGCTTGACTGTTGGCCTCCGACTTATTTGTATACAGTGTCAACTGGTTTTATAGGATAGACCCAAAGCAAACTTTTGGGGAGTGGTGATGAATCACCTTCCTGTTGCAGACATTTACATTCAATCAGAACAATTCAGAAGTTTGCTGGTTTGAGATTCAAAACAATCTTCTTCAAGGCTGCAGAAGTCTTCACACTGGCTTTTAAGTACCTCAAAGCCAAAGACAACTGAGCTGTGCTCCTAGGGGAACTGTGCAATGAGCCAGTCAGATACCTGCAATCCCTTAGGACATCAGCCAGATGCTTCCAGCTCCCTCACACCAGCACCCACAGCCCTGCTCACCAGCAAGTTAATAAATGCCCCAAAAACATCATTAGATGTTTCCCTGCATACCCCATCACAATCACAGATGGTGCTGTGCCGTTCCTTTGGTGCACTATAGGCATGCTGCTTCTTATTGTCACATCTAACCACACACAATACCAAGTCTGTGTCGTTTCATTAATACAGTTGCAGCAGAGCTCTTATTTTGAGACTTTCTAGTTATTGTTTGATGAGCAGCAGCTCCAAAGCTAAGGAAATGTTCACAGATACAGAAAACATGAAGGATAGGGAAGAATCTTCAAAAACAAAAAAACAAGATGTCAGCTCATGATTGAAAGGCTGCTGTAAGTCACAGCATCTCTTCTACCCACTTTTAATAAGGTGGACCCATTTATTTGCACCTTGTCATCTTACTAGGTTTCTCATACCAGTGGCTGGCTTGTGAAAGCAACACTGAATGCAATTTCAGGTATAAAGATACAAACTTACTACAGAAACATTTCTTTACCAAAACCACCGCAAATCATAGACTCAGAACATTTTGGGTTGAAAGTGACCACCTACTTCCAACCACCCCTCACCATAAGAAGGAACACATTCCCCTAAATCAGGTTGATCCAAACTGGCCTTGAACATTTCCAGGGATGGGGCATCCGTGGCTTCTCTGGGCAGTCTGTTCCAGTGCCTCACTATGCTCACAGTAAAGAATACCTTCCTAATATTCCATCTAAACCCGTCTTCTTCAGTTTAAAGCCATCTTGCTTGTCCTATCACTGCATACCCTTGTTAAAAAGTCCCTCTCCAGCTTTCTTGTAGGCCTCCTGCAGATACCAGAAGGCTGTAATGAGGCCCTCCAGAGCCTTCTCCAGGTGAACCACGCCAGCTCTCTCAGCCTGTCTCCACAGCAGAGGTGTTCCATCCCTCAACTCTTGTTCATGGCCCTCCTCTGAACAGGTTCTCAGCCTTCTTATGTTGGGGGGGGGGGGCGGGGGTGGGCAGAGCTACACAGTGCTCCATGCAAGGTAATTTCCTCCATAATATACATATTTTTATAACATACCTTTTATAAGACAAAACACAGGGCACATTGACTATTATTTTTTAATTCAGAGAAAGAGCTGTTGAAGCAGCAGCGGCTTCACTACCCCAGCCACGGGGCAGGGCTGCCCGCCCTCGCCGGGCAAGCCCCGCAGTCCGCGCCCGCCGCCGTCCCGCACGGCGCCCCTCTCCCCCATTAAAGTTCGGACAGTTTCCAGTCCCCCGCTGGATTTCCGCCCTGGACACAGGGAAGGGCTCCGGGAAGCGCCCCGAGCTGCCGCCGGCACGGCCCGTCAGCAAAGGTCGCCCGAGGCCGCCCTCACGCCGGCCGAGCGCGGCCGCCCCCCGCCAGCACCGGCGGGCCGGGCCCGCGGCGCGGCGGGAGCCGATGGCGGCGGCGCAGGGCTGCGGGCGAGGGGCGGAGCGCAGAGACCCTGTGGCTGCCATGGCCGCCTCCCCCTCCCCGCAGCCTCCCTTAAATACTATGGGGCCATAGCTGCGAGGGGCGCCGCCGCTGAGCGCACCATGCGGGCTGTCATCGCCTTGGCCGCGGCGCTGGGCAGCCTGCTGCTGGGCGGCTGCCTCCTGCGCCTGGGCGGCCAGCAGCCCCTCCGCGCCAGGTAGGGCGGCCGGGCGGCCTCGCCCGCGCTCCGGAGCCGCGGGGAGGGCGGAGGAGCGGGGCGAGCCCCGCGGGGCGCGGCGGAGCCTGGCGGGTGCCCCCGGCTCGCTCTGGGCTCGGCGCGGGTCGTGGGCAGGAGAGCGGCGCCGGTCGCGCCGGGTGATGTGCGATCACCGGCGGGTCCTGACAACTTTGTTTTCCCGTCTCGCTTGGCAGGGGCTGGGAGGAGGACGCAGGAGTAGCGGCTGTCACGCCGAAAGTGGTGCGAGCCCTCAGGTCTCCCCTGACGCCCCTTCCTCGGACCGAGAACAGGTACGGGCTGGACGCCCGCAGGTGGGTCCGTGAGGTCGGGTCTGCAAAGCTGAAATTCCCTTCGCTCCGGTTCATTCTTGCTTTTGTTTCGGCAGCTTGATCAGAGAGAGCGTTAGAGATTATTAGAGCAAATGGCACTTTGCTGTAACTATTGTGAATTATTTGCTCATGTTTTTTTTTTTTTGTTTTTTTTTTTTTTTTTTTTTTTTTTTTTTAATTGACGGTTGTCACTATGCCGTTGGTTTTGAGCCCCATAAAATATTGCATAGAGCAATTTTGTTAGTGTACGATGCAAAAAGTGCCTGCTGAATGACACATTCCAGGTATTTTTTTATTCTTCTTTCCAGGAAGGTGGAGCTGGGTAATGCTGTTACTGTTTTTGTAATCTGTATTTAGTTAAAAATACAGATTTATCATTTACAATCCATAGGGTGAAGGCAAGGCATACGAAGCCTGTTTAGTTTCGGGTTGGTATTGTACTTTGTGGGAGCCCATTCACTTGATCATGTGCATTGACCTTCTAGGTCAGTGTAGATTTTTGCTTTACAGCCTGTTATTTTATACTGTGAAGTTTAATATGGAGATACTTTGTAAAGTCAGCTCTGAAACGTTGTGAAACATACAGGCTTCAATAGTAATGACTATTGTTTTCATGCTCTTGAGTCCCCAGACTGTAGGAAAACTAACAGTGCAGAAGATAGTGGTGTAATCCACACATGAGATCAATACTATGTAAGAAGTAGTTTTGAAATATTTTTGTTTCCTTCTTTTACTTTATATGGCATTATTACCTTTGCAGTTACTATGACTATATGTTAATATATATTATGGTCAAAATATATATTATGGTCAAAAATTAGAAAGAACTTAGAATTGGGTCTTTCACAGAAACTATGGTGTCCTGGTTAAAGACAATGTGTTAAAGACAATGGTGACAGTGCAGTTAACCTTACTAAGGCCACCGTCTCACTCACTCTAGCTGAATTTGACAGCCTATGCTTTCCCAAAGTGAATGCAAGTGATGTTAGCTGTAGTAATGATTGCAATGTACCCTAACAGTGCATTTCTTAGATGCTTCTGATGAGGTAGCCTTGTGCTCTCTTCCTCAATATTTAAAATTTTCACAAGCTGTATGTTTATAGCGTCTTTCAAAGTTAGAGTGAAAGAAAAGGAACAGAATTCTGCAAATGTTCCTACATGGTGTTATGAGCTTCTAGCTGCTTCTCTTTTGGTCTCATTTTTTCCCTTTTTGCTTTTTTTTTCTCTTCTTTCCCCCTCTTGATATTGTTTCTTGCAGTATGTATTCTTCTGCTTTTCTTTTTTTGTAGCCATTACTCCATTCTTCACTCTGTTTTGGGCTATGTCTGTGGTTTCCCCCTGGCCCATCTCCTCACACTCCTCCCTGCTACTTTCTGAGCTGCATCTCCTTTCATTCAGCTCTCTGTGTTATACCATGGAGTTGAATTTACTAGAAATGCTGGCAGAGAGCACTTCAGAGAACAGTCTATTTCCCAATTAGTACACTCACAACTGGAGCGATGAAAGAAACAACGCATACCAAAGAGGTCTGAAAATCCATGACATTTTTTAACCTCTGTAATAGGGCAAGTGAGACTGTGATTTTAAATATGTATTTTTCCTTATTCTACTTGAAGGATTTTGGCACCAATTTGAAGCTTCTTTTTGTCAGACTGAAATTGTATTTCTTCATGACTAAGTGGCTGCAAAAGTGTGTCAAGTAAATAATTCATCAAAGAAAGTTTCAATATACTCAAGCCTCTGAAACCGTAGTGTCTTTGGAGAGATGTCTTGCCAGCTGAATCCAAGAGTGGATGTGCTTTCTCACCTGAGTGACTATGCTCAGTAAGCTGGCCTGACAGGAGTTTGTGGCTAATCAGAAAGGAGAGAGAGCTGCTGGACTGGACTGACCAGGAGCTGTTAGTTCATCCAGAGAGCAGCAAGACTGGGCAGGGATCCATGCTGGAGGGGTTTGATCCAGACAGCAGCTGGACTGGGCCTGGCTGAGGGCCATGCTGGAGATGTTTGATCCAGAGAGCATCTGGACTCATTCAGGGAGTTCAAACCAATCCCTCAGTGATGGAGATGGATGGTCTGGTCAATAGGAATTAGATTCCAATGTGCTGTGGGGAAGTGTGGTTCTCCTAAACAACCCTGATAACTTGAATGGCATTGCTCTGTTATTGGCAGCAATGTCCTTTCCTCCATAAGAGTATGAGGATGTGCATGGATGTTTCCAGGAAAGGAAAAAGAAATAAAACCTAGGCACTATCCTTGACCTCTAAGTAAAAGTAATCTAGACAATCTTCACAGTCACAAGCTAATCTTTTTTGTTATCATTATTTTCTTTGCTGTTGGAGGCATATGTGTAACCAGACATCTCCCAAAGAATCTCTAAGGCCCTATTATTCTGTTACCTTGCAGTATTGAAAGCTAATCTGTTCTTCTACTTTGAGCAATTCTTTTAAAAGGATGAAACTGAAGGATGAAAGGATGAAAAGCAGGGGATTGGATCAGACTCTCTTAGATATTTAGGCAGCTATTATGTGCAGCAGTGTTTAAATACATGGTGACTAGGCAGCTAAAGTTCTCTGGAGATCTGTGTCTAAGTAAAAACCTTGATGATGTGGTTTGTCTTTTACAGGACACTGCTTACCCCTTTTTCTTGTTAAGCCTTAGCTAATTGGAGCAATGTGACTGCCTCTACAGTGCAACTTGCACATCTAGTTTTAGATTATTTCACAGCCTACTGTGCCTCTTAGTAGGGTTTCTTACTGAAAATAAAGGCCACTGTTAGTAAGATATGTCTATTAGTCCCCAGACTTGTTCATGGAACCAGTATCACTGATACTGCAGTAGTATGTTCTCTGGTAAATTCTCCTATGTCTCATACTGTCCTCTCTATTTTCAAGCTGTAACTGTGAGTACAATTTATATTTTCTTAAGTACATAGTTCTCGTATTTTCAACACTACAATCAGAAAAAGAAATCTTGCATTTTCCCCACCTTTAGACCCTTGGTCTTCCCTCTCTCCTTTCCTCTCTCCCCACCTGTGTTTGTGCAGGCATATTTGTTAATAGTAGAACAGAAGGCTCAATACTGCTAGTGCTTACCAGGGGAAAATGAAAATAGTAAGAGAAGATAGGTAGTATTTTCCTTGTTATGAGGCCTAGTGTGTACTAGGTTAAATTTACGCAGAAATTCTAACTCCTATTATACTACCCAGGAATATGCAGCAGATAAATAATGCCAGGTCCTGCAAGGGAAGTCAAAATAACACTATTTATGTATACTTTATATAAAAGTTACAAGGCAGAAGTACCCTAAGGAACTGACTACCTTACTCTGTTAGTCTGTGTTGCCAGTGTTAAGGCATTCCTTTACTATTTCCCTAGCTTGCTTTTTGTCTTTGCAGGTCCAAGGCAATCACAGTGTAAACACCACTGAGGTAATTGAACAGTGGGAGAAAGTGATTGAGAAGCTATGTGTAAACAAGTTAGTATTAATACAGTGTTCCATAGTGTTGATTTCTCCAATTCCTCTCTCAGCAGCAGATCTGTATGCAGGCCTAGGAAATAAACAGCTATACTTAATTAACAATGCTACAGAGACTTGTACATTCTGTCTACTGACAAAATATTGCATTCAGGCAGTCAGAAGGGAAAGAAGACACAGGCTAATACCACAATTATGGAGTAGCCTAGTGTATTGCACAAATAATTTGCTGTGGTTTAGATTAGTCAGCAGTGGGGGTCCACTTTATTAATTTTACTGCTCTCTTAATATTTTGCCCCTTCATTCCCAAGTGATGCATGCAGACATATTTTAGGAGCACATTTTGAACCCATGCCTTATGTATTAGTTCTGTCTAAATGAATAGGTGTTCAGCTGAAAGCTGCTGCCAGGACACATTTATGTTCTGACAGTGGTGAAAGGTTTCTTTTTACTTGGTCCAAGTGAAACTGCTCTGTCATTCTATTGTGTGCCCTTGTAACATGATTTTAGTGTAAGTACCTTATTCTTTTCACTTCACCTACCATGAAGCTCTGAATGTTGCTTGTCATGTACCTGTCATGCAGTTTATAGATTTTATAAATAAAAAGTATCTGTTGTACATAACCCTGGTGAATGCACTGGAGGGTTTTTCAAATAATTTAAAGATGCAGTTTGTGTAAAGACCAGATTTAGCATTCTTTAGATAAGCAATACCTCTATAGGAACTTGAACAAAGATAGTAGGATCAGTCCCTTTAACAGTTGTTGTGATTAATGTTTCAAGACAAATTCTTACTCCTGTGGTTTTATGAAGCCATTTTTATAGTCCATTTCACCAAGCATTTAAATTGTGTATTGCCTTATTAATCAAGGTGTTGTGAACTTTAAAAGCATCACTATATTCTTATCATCTGATTAATTAGAAATAGTATCAAAGACAGCACTTAAGAGCACCCTTCCTATGGAAGTATGGATTGTGGGTTTTTAAATAGTATTCAACTAACAGATGATGATATTCAAATATAAATTAGTCCCTTCAAGGGAGAGCTTAAGACAGAAGATATTCACAATCTGGATAATGCTATTCAGTGCCATTTTGGTAGACTGATAAAAATGTGCAATTTTGCCTACAGAAGTTATCCTTTTTAGCTGAAGATGCTGAGCTGGAGCATGTTTAGAACTCTTGTGCCCCTTCAGACAAGAGCAAGAAGCTATAGAAAAGAGCAGCAACTTGTTCTGCTGGGTATGGAGTGAATAGCCAATGAGTGGGATTTTCCCATACTTTAAGTGTGGATTTACTAGGAAAGTGAAATCTTTGTTGCTTTTACTGCTGCCAGATGGTTCAGGTCTGAGAAATTTTGAATATCTCATCCCACATTCTTTGTTTCTATCTGATTTTGAGGGACATCTAGAGTAGTGACCTTTTAATCTTTGTGTTACAGTATAACTCATAGCACCAGTTTTTCCATCTGCCTTTTTTCCTACCTACCATTCCTCCATCTTATGCTCATCTCATTTTGCTACTCTGATAACTGGGGTTGAGTTTGGTTTTGTTTTTAAAGGCTGTGCCTTTGCTTTTCCTGCCTGTACCTTTCTGCTCCCTCAGAATGCTGTCTTACTTGACATACCCCTCTGGTGATTCCCTGCAATAAGGGTCCCTATTGCCTCAGGACTGAATGCTGCAGGAGCAGCAAAAGGACTTTCCATATAATTTCTGTCTAAAGGTGGATTCCAATCTTGTCTTAAACAATTTTACAGTTTAAAGATCTGCTTGTCTTCCTGAGAGCAAGATATAGAATAAAAACGTGCTGATAGATAAGGCACATGGTCTTAATCTACTGTGGATTTATTAAAGTACAGATGGTGTACTTCCTGAGTTTCTAGAATTACCATAGGAAGTATGTGGTCCTTAAGCTGTTCATATATGATTAAAAAAACCCTGTTTTTCAGATTTAGTCCAATATGATTGGTTAAGCCCTAGGGAAAATACAGCTGAAATTTCCCTATATCATCAGTTTTATGAGTTCAAGCCAACAGAATGTTAGTGCTTCAAGTTCTCATTTAGCTTAGTAGTTCACAAAATTAGTTGAACGTAGCTGATATCTGCGTTGATAGGCATGTTACTGATTTCATTGCAGAAGCTGTAGTGCTGCTCTAAGCAGTGAGCAAGACTGTCATCCTCTGGGTCAGGTAAATTCATTTAGTGGTAAATATTGCCTTGCACAATTGTCTGAAATGAGCAGAAATTTAATCTGAGTCTGATGTCTGCACAACTTTGCCATGAATAATGCAGCAGAAGTCTGGACTGCCTCTTGCACACCCATCTTTATCTAAATGCAAAAAGATTTCACTTGTGAAGCAGAGGCCACTCTGACAGTGAAACAGAAATTCAGAAAATTAAATTTTAATGGAATGAGTTTTACATCTCTTGCAAATAAAATGTTTTCATTTTGTACCTTTTGCACCACATAAAGTAGCTTGAGTAAATTTTATGTATAAAAAGCTGCAGAAGAGGCATTTTGGTGATCTATGATGTGGCTGTAAAAGTGATTATGAGGCTTTAATGACAAAACAGAATAGGGAATTATTTTGTTCTTTCTTTTTTTCTGACTTCCTCTTTTTTGAATTTTTCAAGTCTTGAAAATGATTGCTTAAAAACAATTGCATATTAAAAAATGAGGCAACTTGCTTGCCAAGATCTTATGAATTTTTAAAAGGACTAAAAGTCTGTGGAGTAAAGCTTGTATTTGAGAGAATATTTAGTCATTGCTCCACAGATCTCAAGACAAAAAATAATAGGAAGCTGTAAGGACTTATAATAGTTGTCTGCACGGAGTTATGAAAGAATGTTGATGCTTTGCCACTTTGCTAACGCACCTCGCAGGGAGCTGATCAAACCTAACTGCCTGCTCTGCCTTGGGCATGCACCTGGCAGCCTTCACATGTTAGACAGGGTCTCTTCTGGCCAGCTGTGGCTCAGAAGGGCTGAGGCTGCTTCTCAAATCAGCATCAGCATCTTAGGTTTTAGTTATAATGAAAGGCTTATTTGCAGCAGTAATGTGTTCTTGGCTTATATCAATAGGTTTTTTTTGTTGTTTTGGTTTTTTTTTTCTTTCTATTTCTTTAAGATGCTGTTTAGGCAGCTAAACTTTTGCCTGTAGCCATTGCTCTTATTTTAAGCTGCAGCTGCAGAATAAAAATTTGATGTAACTGAGTTACAAGGAGCAAGAGAGAGGAAGCATAATGTAGTGCTAACTAAATTTCTTTGAGAACTGGAAAGGACCTACCTGGTTGTTCTAGATAGACAGAACCATTCAGACCAAGCTGCAATAAATTTGTGTACATAAATTTTGTAGGTAGAATATTTGCTAGCACTTGCTGTGTGAGATCTGCAGAGTTCTTAGCTCTGAACTGTGTGCTCTGAGAGCCTTCTGCTATTTGTATTTCACTCCTTGAGAAAAAATGAGATAAAGAGCTGTATGCAAAGGCAGCCAAGGAGCTCTCAGTAGGCAGTGCCAGCTGTTACTATCTATTGAAGTCACTGCAGAACTGAAAGGATAGAGGTTTATGTTGTGTTGTCTTCTGTTTTCCTCAACAAGGGGCATATAGACTGGATACTTCCTCAGGGGCACTGAGTGTATACTGGGAAGAATTTATTGGTAGTGGGAAGAAATTAAGAGGGCTGTTCTCTCTCCTTGGCAGCCTACATCCTGTGGGAATTGCTGCTAGTGGTGACTAACTCTAAAAAATTCATGGGCAATGGAAAGAAGAAAAAAAGGTGATTCTTTCCTTCCCTGTCAGCTATGACCATGAGAGTCAGTTCAGTAGCAAAATAAACAAGCATTTATTCTTCTCTTTCTTCTTCAGTCAGTCTTCTTATTTGAAGCGTTTAAGAAGAGAAGGCTCAGGAGAGACCTTATTGGTACCTGAAGGGAGGGTGCAGAGGATGGAGCCAAGATCTTCTTAGTGGTGCCCAGTGATAAAACAGAGGCAGTGGGCACCAACTGAAACACAGGAGATTCCCTCTGATCATCAAGCATCACTTTTTAACTGTGAGGTGACTGAGCACTAGCACAGGCTGCTCAGGTAGGTTGTGGAGTCTCTATGCTTGGAGATATTCAAAAGCACCTGGTCACAGTCCTTGCTCACCCTCTCTAGGTGGCTCTGCCTGAGCAGGGAGTTTGGACTAGATGACCTCTAGAGATGCCTTCCAACCTCAGCCACTCTGTGGTTCTGTGGCTTGAAATGGCATTTTAGCCAAGCAAAGTCTTCAAAATCAGCCTGTCAGAAATCTTGTTGCTAAGGGGTCTCCATGTTGTAGGAGATAAAGGCAATGGAGTTTTGAACCTTGTCAGTAAAAGCAGTGATGGCTCAGAAGCAGAAAGCAAAGCAGGAAGGCCTTTCTCTTTGTGTGTGACTGCCTCTGTACAGAGATGTTTCAGTTGTTCTCTAAGAACTGCACACAGTGTCTCTGTCTTCTGTGTTTCTACTTCTTTGGGCAAATAGGATGCAATATCCAAGGGATCTTGTAATGAATCAGTGGAAAGAAGCAAAGAGGAGGGGGAAGTGACAGGGAAGAACATGGTTAAGGGCAAGGAAAATAATGCCAGGGGAAAAATCTTTATGATAAATAGCAATCCACAGAGTGAAGGCTGATGCTAGAAGAGGGTGATTGTATGAGGTTGGACATAGATAGAGGATGAACTGAGGTGAATGGAATAAGACCTTGGTATCTCAGTCATTTACTAATTTACATCTCAGCCTTCTATAACAGCTGCCCAGAGCAAGAGGACCACACAGGAGTTTGATGAAAATAAGATAGGAATTAAAGATCACTATCTGGCACTTGCCTTAGTTCCTTTTACAAATATCTGATCTTTCTGTGTAAATAAAGAATAAACAAGGCAGGAAGTATGCTTGAGTCAGTAAGTTAAGGTCAAAGATCCACTTCACCTGTGCAAATTTTCTTTTATATATTATATTCACTATGAATATTACATTTCATCAAAATTTTAGGAAATCACATCTGCTAAATATTTTACTAGAGAATATTTTAAATATCTTCAAAACTTAATGTTCAAGATGCTTTCAATTTAATTTATTTTTTTAAATTACATTTGCTGATTACAGTGTAAAGTGGAAAATATAATTCAGACTATGAAATAAGGTTATTTTAAAGAACCAAATACTTTATAGTCCCTAGTAGAAAACTCGCCTTTAATAATAGGAGCTTCACAATAGAAGTCCATAAGATTTGTTTGGTAATGTTTTCAGCTAAATCAACGGTTATTAATCTTATTGTCATAGCAAAGTAAATGTGACAACATTGGTAGAATATGTTCTCTTTTATAGTTTATTGCTTTTTCACCTCCTGTTCCCCTTAAACAGGACAACTCATAATAAAAATGGAATTTACCAGTTTGAGCAGGCTTCAAAATGTAAAGCAATTCAGGACAACATTTTGTCATCATCTATCAAGAAGAAAAGGTAGGTGTTTGCTATCCTTTCTGCTTTGTTTGTTTTAAATAGAAGGGTAAAAGATTGTCCTTTTTTACATAATTCTTGGTTTATTAATGTGGAGCTATGCAACAGAAAGCTAGATTTGTTCAACCAATGTTTGCTGTATTTTTTCTTTTACATGGATAAGATTTATTCAAGGTGGGATTTTAACTTTTTTATTTTTACAATACAAGATTTCTTCTTGTCAGTTAACAACATTAAATTTCAAGTTATTCACAAAAATATAGAGTAGAAGTGTGGGGTATAAATTAAGTTTTGAGTGTCTTTTCCCTGACTGGTGAACCCTTCTCCATTTATGAGCAATTTCATTTAATGATTCTGTTCAGCATTGCTGACTAGAGGAAGTTTGGAAATGTACTAGTATAAAGACTTGCTTGTTAGTTGCATTATGATTATAAGTCCACAGGAAACTAACAGTCTAATTTTAGACACATTGGAAAAAAAAACACCCCAAATTAATTTTGGGTTTCAACTTGCTGTTCTGTATTTTTCTGGCATGTAGAAAAATCCAACTTTGATATCAGTCCTGCTCAAATTCCTTGTCACTTTTCAAAGTGTAAAGCTGAGAAGCAGCCATTGTTTTTGACATGTAACATCTTTTCCTATATTGATGCACCAATAAATAAAACATTGAAAGTAAGAAAGGCTTCCCATTAGGACTGAGTTGCAGCTTAAAGTGGATGGTGCCCTGCTGTCCTTAAAGCTGGGAGTTTCCCTCCCGACTCCCCTCCATTTGAGAAGATAAATGGAATGAGATAAAAGATGAGCTGAAAATAATTATATGGTTTTCCCCATTCAAAATACCGGAGAACTCAATTTTTTCCTTAATGCCAAAAAAACCCATTGAATGATGATTTGAAAACTTACTCTCCTTTCTGCCTGCTCCTCACTTATATATTGCATTTAAAGATCTTTCACCTCTCTTTAAATCATCATATTCCCAGCATTTTGTCTTTGCTCTTATTATTACTTCTTTATTTATTTATTCCTTTCCCCCCTATTTATTTATTCTTTTTTCCCTTCTTTACAGCCTCTTCTCCCATCAGTATTCCACCTCTTTCAGCAACATTGTCACTGAAGTTTTTATTCTTTTGAAAGGTGCTAGAACACTATGTTACTGATGCACTGATAGTGAGAGCTGAAACATAGACTGGCAGAGAACAAAGAATGCAGTTGACTGAAAACTTGAGTGATTAACACCAAGGGAAAGAAACGAAGTCACTATACTGCTTTCAAAATCTACTTACAGCAAAATAATTGCTGTTGTTTATCCCACACATTGCAGAGGTTTGTAGTCTTTGGAGATAAGCTCTTCATATTGAGAACATTTTGGAGCTGAGGTTATGGGAGGAACTTTACAAAGTACAAGACCTTTATTCTGTGGTTAAGGAGAAAGGTGCTGTACCATTTAATGGGGCAGAAGATGAATTGGGCAGGTAGGAAGAGAAACAGATGCTTGGGAAAAAAAGGAGCAAGGGATTGCTTTTTACCATGAATATTGCAGGATTGACCTTCACTTAGAGGAGCTCCAGGGACTCTGTTGCTTTTTCAAGGTGTGACCCATGGCTGTGGTATATAAATGCTTTATATTGCAGTTCTAGACCTGCAGGGACATTCTGGACACTTCTGCCTCTTCAGTTGAAAGGAAGAAGAAAAAAAAAATACTGATTTAAAGTTTGTCAAATGATTTGATAGTAAGAAATGCTGTGTAACTGGGAAGTTATTATGGCCAAGTATGTGCTGCTGGTGACAAAGTGTGAAGTGCTGAGTTTTGCTAGCAGTTTTCCATTATTATTCTAGAGCAAGCCCTGTATACAATCTCCTGAGGGTTTATAAAACTGACTTTTTTTTTTTGGTAGTGTTAAAGTGTCCAGAGGCAAGACAGAGCCTCCCTTATTTTGCATTTCATGCCACAGCTTTTCTTATTTGTTCCATATTGAACATAAACTGCTTAGTAGAAATGTATCCTTTTTTCACTCCTGCTGCTCAATCTTCCTTCTAATTCAAATACCTTTTTTACAAGCTGGTATTTAGTTTTAGCAAATAACCAGTGAGACTGCATCTGTCTGTTCTGACATTTTACCTGTTGTCTCCATACTATCGCTACACTTTTGTCCTTGCTCTTGTCCTTTTGATATCTACCAAAAATTAGAAGATACTAATACTTTGTCAGTGCTTCGACTGTGAATAGTAATTCCACCTTAGCCACTGCAGTTAACATAGAAGGTCACTTCTTACCTGACAAATACTCTGGGCAAAAAAATAAAAACGCCTTCCAGGTGTTATTTGTTAGTCAGGCTCATATAGTATAAGTGAGTTTCCTAGGACAGCAAATTATTATAATGGTTGTGGTGCAGTTGGCAGACAAAAACATGACAAAATACCCCATGTTTCATTCATTCACTCTTCTCAGCACTGTAATCATTGTGTTGTCCAAGTATTTTTATAGTTCAATTTACCTGAGCCTTTTTTATCTTAATAATAAAACCCTTTTAGCATCAGTGAATATGTGCTGTAGGCTCCTGGGTGCCAGTGGAAATATATGTAATTGCCAGCTCCTTAAAATGGAAGAGTGGAGAAGATGACTGTCTGGGTTACAGCAGAGTCATGAAATGATTCCCTGATAACCTGAACTGATTCATTTAGAGAAGTAAATCCCCAAGCCTCCTTTAAAGCAGGAAATGCTAAAACTGGCTTTCTGAGAGGAAAACAAAGTTTCCTGGGCTGCAAACCCAGCTGCAGCAAATCCCAGAGCTTCATGTTGAGTCTTTAAAAAATTATTTCTAGGAACATTGTCTGTGTTGGAGTTAACTTCATAGAAACCTTTTACTGGTGTGAGCAGATGCCTTGCAGAGCTGCCACAGCTGGGAGCTCCTGTCCCCCAGGACAGCGTGCTGGGATGTCTGTGCTGCCTGTGGCACTGTGCCAGCTGGTAAAGACAAGTTCTGACAGACCACAGTGTCTTTGTAAGTCACAAGAGGAGAGAGCTAAACTGGATGCATAGGGTGAGCATAGTTGGTGTTCTGGCTTGTAAAGACCTGGAAATGGTGCTTTCCTATGTGAACTGGTGATCTTGGATACCTCCCAGCAAGAGCAGTTCCATCCAGTAGAGACAGCTGTGGAAAGGCTGCAGTGTTCTTGCTTTGTGCTTGGTGTTTTTACCCTAAGTGCATTTTCTGTTACAAGTATGAAAGGGCCCTTACAGTGAGTGCCTATGTTTCCTATGAGGTCTCAGAACTAACATTATGGATTATGCTTTCATTCTTCTCCCTGCCAAATGCTTCCCTGTAACTTACTAAAAAACTGTCAGACCATGCAATTTCTTTCTGAATAGATGGTAATTTTTCATTTCATTTCTGACTCTTATCTTCATCTTACCAATGTCTTTAGGCTAGAATTTACTTTTTCTATATTTTTTTTTCTCTTGGGTAACGAAAGCATAAATAACTCTTCATGGTCTGTTATCCTATTAATTTCTGGAATTTTTTGTAAGTTCAAGCATCTAAGAGTGATTTCTTGTTTATATTAAGGAATGAAACCAGATGAGTTATTCAACATCAGAATTGGCTATTTTGGTTTTGTGTTTTTATCTCACCTTCACCCCACAAACACTCCCTGCCCTGTATTCCTACTGACACTTGTCTGACCACATAGTGACTCAATTTAGGGATCAGCTTCAGCAGGATGGTAGTTACATTTTCTATGGCTGCAGTTCCAAGGCTGATAACATACCAGCAGGCAGCTGCCAAAATAGGAGGGCTTTGATCCCTGTTTGTCCATTTCCATCACTATTTGCTTATACTGGCTGTGGTCTTAGATGGAATCATTCTTATCTGGTTTAACACAATAAGAAGAAAATGTATATGCATATCCTTTTCCTTCTGGATTATTTTTTTGCCCTGGTACTAAAAGTGGCCTATGAAGGCATTTGGCAAGTGCAAAACCTGGCAAAAGAAATACAGGGGTGGAGTGAGGCAAGTACCCACAGTGACACAAGGCAGTTGGGCTGGGAGGAGAAAGAATGGAACTGCACCAGGTCAGATCAGCTACAGCTGCAATGAAACTAGGTTTTTTTCTTCTTCTGCCTATTGAGTTCTCTTGAGTTGTGAAGGGCTCAGTAGAATCAGTTTAGTCATAAGCTTCTAGTTCCATTAAGAGTTTGCGAAGTGTGGAGGATGAAACTTGTACATGTTGTCACAGGTGCAAACTTGAGCCAGAGATCGGTTTTAATGCAACATTCCTCTTAAAATTAGAATTTATTTTCCCATGTGGAAATTGGACATGATTTTACTTGGAATAGGATAAACGAGTTATCTTTAGCAATTGCAGTAATTTTATGAAGCAAACAATCTGTTTGTTTCAAATGTGTAACAGAGAGAAGGAAGCTTTCAGATAATTGACCTCTGCTGCTGCAACCACGAGAGTGTTTTTATATATTGCTTTTTATCAATTCTTGTGTTCCACTTAAAAACAATTGACATTTCTTGCAATCCCAACTCTCATAAAACTGTTCAAAATAGACACTTCTGAGTGACAGCTTGAATAAATTCATGATGGTTTGGCTTGACACTAAGCCATTTTTGTTATAATAATACAAGTTAGTTCTTGTATGGAGACTTGAATCCCATAGAATTTTAGTCATGACATCCATACCATCTTTTCTTCCTATTCCTCCAGTTATCTTAAGTCAGTTTTTGTTTTTTAAAAACCTGTATTATGATCCAGGCTCAAATGGGAGAAGTAGTAACATTGAACATGAAAGCAAAAAATGTCTTAATTCTTTTGACTTTCATGTTACAAAGTATTTGACTTATGAACAAATTTAAACCTCTTTAATGGATTTTCAAGAGCGGAGAGCTTTTTGGTTATTTGTAGCAATGTAACCAAAGTTCTGGATCATGTAAAATAGCAGATTGTTTTATTTTACAAACAGTTTAAAGGAAAAATTACATTTGTAAATATTGGTCTATTGTCTTTAGATGATTGAGCTTTGAGGACTCTGAAGTAAAGGAAAGAAAAGGCGTAAGAAATGTTATGTTTCATCTTGGCCACCAAGAGCCACATTTCAAAATACTTTTAAGGTTGAAACCACCAAGTACGAGGGAATTATTTATATTATTTTGGAATTTTGCACTTGAGATGATTTCTAATAACTTCAAAGTGTTTATAGTTATGTAAGTTTGAAACAAATGTACTTTTGAAACTTTCTGAAGTTCATTAGGACATCAATACAAAGAAGAGATGTTTAATAGGTCATGCTAGTTAAATGAGGATAGTGCTGTTACAAATTACAAAAATAAAATAGGTCATGGAATTTTAACAGCAATCTATTATATATGCATCATGCACATTATTATTAATAAATGCATAATTTGAATGTTTTAAAAGACTGTTTCTAAATATACATACATATGTATTCTAGTGTTTGTTGCTGTTTCTTTTTTTAGATCCTCAGAAGATTATTATCTTCATATAGTCACAAAACTGCAGAACTGCACCTGGGTAAGGAAACCAGAAGAATCTACAAAATTCAGGTAATTTTCATTGTCTCATAGAAAAACTGTTTACCCTAGATTTTTCTAACAAGCCATAAATTTAAATATTCCCTTTTAAACAGATAATTTTGTATTGCTTGTAATAATTTCTATTAATATTTTGATGCTGCATCTCTTCTTGTTTGTTGGAATTTAACTGTGCAAACTGAGTAGAATAAAAGAACTACGTAAGTAATTTCATCTATTTTCACTATAATGAGTAGTAAACTAACTTAAGTTAAATTAATTAAAATATTCCTGGCATAAACCCTACAGTGTTAAAAAAAGTATTGATAATTCTATTTTGTCCATTTGAATTGGCACTCTGATAAAAGGCTATAATGAAGCAGTGTGTTCCTTACCTCAAGACTATTGCCTCTATTGCAGAAGTGCCCACGGCACTCATTAGGTTTGTCACTGCATGTCATGGCCCCTGAGCATGACAGCACATTATTCCATCTGTCCTTCTTTGGGATGGCACAGAAGGACATGCTCAGTAGGGATGGTGAGCTCTGAAAAGCCTAAACTCTCATTTGGAAATCGTGCTGGTTCTAAAAAACGGCTTCACTGTGCCATCTCTACTTGCTTCAGGGAAAAAAGCTCTCTTGATTTATATTTTTACATGGATCATAATTAAAGATTCCGTCATGATTGTTAAAAATAAATAAACTGACTTATCTTCCAACTCTTTGGAGTTAACTAGCATTGAGAGCTTAATATCCACGTGCTCAACATGATCCCTTCGGAAGAAGTAGTTTTGGGTTGGGGGCGGTTAAAGGGTTTTGTGCAACATAAATTGCTGTGTTTGCTGTGTATCATAACTGACTAATAGTGTTTCCCAAAGCTGAGGTAGGAGTTTATACAAAGTTAAAGAAACTTTGTAATGACTCAGGCCTCAGCTGTGCACAGAGCTATCAAGCATGATAAGGAGCTGTAAAGCAGCCCATTCCATCTCAGAACAGGCAAGTGTCTTGCACAGAGTTGACAGGAGATAAAGCTGCTCTCACCTGCTCCCCATCCTGCTACATTTGGGCATTTTCTTTTCCAATCTGTTTATTTTTTTAACTTCCCTTCCTTCCAAATGGACCAGCCACCACATACCAGCTATTTGCCACTGCTTCTGCTGTACTAGGTGTTTGAATCAGTGGCACTGTAGCCACACCTTTGTCCAGCCTGATTTCTTCATTTATTACTTATATAATCTCCCCTGCACTGGGCCAGCTTCTACATCTTCTAGGGCTATGGGAATCAAGCATCTGAAACATATAAGACTCAAGTACAGGATGCTTGCTGTTCCTTGTGCTGTCTTTGGCTTCCAGCAAGGAGTGTGGGTCATAAGTAGCCAAGGTAGGTTAAGCAACCAATGATCAAACTGGAAAAATTCGAAAGGCAAAACTGTCGGATGCACTAAGCTGCCAGAAAAGTGTGGACTCTATGTGCATTGAGGTGATCTTACTAACTTTAATTTAAGTCATATACCAAGCAGAAGAAAACCATCTTTTAAAATCCATGGTTCAGCACAGGCTGGACAAACTTGTTACTGAATCAACATTCAAGGGCTGTGCTGTTATGGTTTCCTTGGGTTTTAACATCCAAACTAGCTGGAGTGTTAGCTAGTTCATATGTACATAACCCATGCTGCAATTCTGATGACAGTACTATGTATCCTGTTCCTGAAATTTGATCTGATTTGATGTCATCAAAGATTTCCATTGACATGACTAAGGACTGCTGCTTTGGTGTAGGGCATTGTGAATGATTATTTTACAAAGATGAGTACTTTTGCATAAGTCTTGTCTTTCTTTTCATTCTCAGTCTTCTCTGTTGGTTTTTTTTGGAAATAGGATATTAAAATTTTACAGTTGTCCTTAATCCATGACCATACTGGAGATTTTCAAGGCTCCTAGCAGTTGGTCAATAGAGTCTTTAAAATAAAAAGATTTTTAAAAGAAAACCAAATTTTATATAAAATTTTCTGGCCAAATCTCCATGCTTACAGCACTTCCAAATTTATCAGACTTAAGCCTCCAACTAGCTTTGGAAGGGCACTTTAGCTGAGAAATGATACATTCATGGAGCTATGGGGGTGAAAAAGTTATAGAATTGTAGTGAAATAAATGAATTAATAATCACTGGGCAGTAGATCTCTTCCCTTTTTGGACTTAGCCTAGTGTCAGTAATAGCTGTGTAATACAAATATTTTACAGTCTGAAAATCTCATTAAGTAGGTAGATAAACACACCCATTTGCAGAAGAGGAAATTAATCTCTGAGGGGCTGTGCAGCAGAAATTGGGTACTACAGCCAGCCATCTTCAGCAGGAGAAACTTAAAGCTGTGTCACATTATTCACCTGCCAGTGCCACCAGAAGTTTGCCTGCTCACAGGACTGCAGAGAAGCTACTTGACTTCTTTTCCTGTTTGTCCATCTGTTAAATGCAGTGAACGCTTAGATGCTTCTCAGGCGCGGCATCAATTTTATGACATCTCTCTATTATCCTGAAGTTCTGAAGAACAGGCATGCATATTTATAAGGGATTTAATGTCTTATGCTTCAGGGCATACACTAACCTCTAATTAATAAGGTTCAAGAGCAGCTTCTCCTGGGTAGTTAATTTTTCAGAGAAGCTTTCCTGTGTTTTGCTTTGCAGCTTTTGCTGCTGGCTTCCAGCATGCTGCTAGTGGAGTGAAGGAATATGTGATCTAAGCCAGTAACTCCTGTGTTCCTAGAAGACAGCACTGTGTGCCAAGGAGTACACATCCATTCTCATTGTAAGCTGCTCTCCCAGAAGATCCAGGCCAAATAAAAGAATATAAATTAGAAGTGCAGTTCAGGAAAGAAATACTTGTCTTTTTATTTGGCAAAAGAGTTACAGCTGACAGCCATGTCTGGCACAAACTACAGTGTTTTTGCCAACTCACTGTTGGAGAGCAGGGTGCAGGACTCCAGGCTGACCCTCTACTACCTGGCTCAGCTTTGTCATGCAGCTGTGCAGAATGTGTCCATTTGTTGTCAGAGGGCTGCTCTTTCCCAAGTGGCTCCCTCTAAAGCTGCTCTGCTGTGCTGGCTCACATGCTCTTGGCTAGGTTGCTCTCTGGCAGCGCTCACTGGTTCTTGACGGCTACGTGATGTTTACACATGCATTTCTCAAAATCAGGGAGAGTAAGGAAGCAAGTACAAGCCATGATGTTCTCTTTAATACCTCCCATTTCTCAGTCACTCTTCTGTGGTTGATTTTTGTCCAGACTCTGTCAGGGAACCAATCTCCTGGCATTTCACTTATTTTAGTGTCTGTAGTGGTGACATCAGCATTGTCAGACATAGGCTGCCCTCAGAGGAGCAAGTGCAAGCACTTCGTTCATTGGTCTTGAAATCTAGTTAAGATTTATTGTGCCCCACAGTAGTATTTGTCAGTCATTGGTGTAAGTAGCATCCTGCTGACAGTGATTTTTGGAGTCTTACTCCAACATTTACTTCTAGAGATATATAGAAAACATTTTTTATTCTGGCCTTTCCTTTATAAAATGAATCTTCTCTTGACCTTTAAAAAATTTATTTTGTTCATTATGGCTCTTCAATCATCTAGCATCTCCACATTATGCCTTTGTTTCTAAGACCACCTGAATTCTTTCTCCCTTTTCATATTTACATCACCTCTAACTTGTTTTAGACAGAACAAGTGCCTTTTCTGTAAGGGAGAAACTTTGTAGAAACTTGGAAAAGTGGGGGAAATAATCTCACAGCTGCCTGGAGAGATCATCCTTAAAGGTCTAAGGAAAAAAACTGTACTGGGTAGCTTTGTCTGCAAAGGATCTTCTAGCTACACTCAGCAGAGTCTCAAGTTACCTAGGTAACCTGAATATTAATTATTATATTAGTATTCTTCTAAGGTTTTCTGCTTTAAAGAAATATTTCATTACTACAACAAATTACAGGGCCTAGTTAAGTGCAAGCTGTAATTGTTTTTTACACCTCCACATGTCTATGCTTTACAGACTTTCAAGCTTATTTTACTCTCATTTGGGCTATATACCGACAGTATCAAATAATCTGCAGATTTCCAAAGTAGTTGTGACTCCAGCTTTTGCACAAAGCTACAAAATATTTAATACAGGCCTCAAAATGAGGGGAGAAAGGTTGAGCAGATGCTGTGTTTCAGAGAAGCCTCTGAGCATTGTATTTCTGGGCTGAATGAGCTTGAAGCTTGTCAAAGCAATGCAGCAGCACCTCAGGAGTGGTATCACACTAAAATAGTGAGCTGTGGGGACTGGGCCCTCTCCCCATGGAAAGACCATTCCAGACAAACCTTATTTGCATCTTATAATGAAGAGAGAATCATATTCCTAGGTGTAAAACACAGTTTTAAAATTCTTGATTTTACACTGAAGTCTAGCTGGCAGAATGCTGCCCCCAACCAAAAGATTTTTTTTTCCTTTTTAAAGGAACATTACTATTTTAAAAAAGAACATATATTCATAAAAAGAAGAGATAAAAAATAAACCATTTTCCATGTCCTGTTATTTTCCCTCTTCCTTTTTATTCTATTTGACCTCTATTACCCTTTTCCCACTTTAATATCTCTTCTCAAAAGTGTGTGTTAAATATTCCTGCAGATTATAGAATACCATTTCTTGAAGAGATTTGTTTTGTTGCAAACTACACTCTAACCCATATAACAGTATTGGTTATCACATCTGTGTACTGCAATGAACATCAGCTGAAACACAAATAAAATACACTGTAAGGTCAATTTATGCTTATATAAGCTTGCACCACCACATAATCAATAGCTTTTCTAACACTAAACAGATCAATATTTCTGCTGTAATCTCTGAAATCTTCCAATGTACAAAAAAGTACACAGAACTCAGACTGCAGAGAGATTAAGTACATTTGCTGGACAGATTTCATAGATGATATGTAAAATAATAAGTATATATTCAAAGATAAATTTTATTTCAGGAGAGAAAGAGATGGGTGGAGAGATAGTAATTAGTGACA